AAAAAAAAAAAAAAAAAAAAAAAAAAAAAAAAAAAAAAAAAAAAAAAAAAAAAAAAAAAAAAACACATGCGTGTAGGTTTGAACTTACCTTGGCTGAATGATTGTTTGAATAACTTTGTCGTGGAGTCTATAATTTATAATATTTTAATATTTTTTTCTTTAATTATTTGGACAAACAAATAATAATTAAAACCTTTTTATAACAATGATTTAAATCATTTTTTCTTTTGATGAGATGCGATTGTTACTTAAATTTGATTAAAAAAAACAACTAATTTTGAGACAAAATTTCAATATATATATATATATATGTCATAATAAAATTTGAATTTAAATACATTAATTTGTTATTTGTTATATTATCATTATTTTAAGCAGTGTGAAAATTATTAGATTTTTATTACGAATTAATTCTACCTATTCAAATTTTCATGTTATTATTATTATTATTATACGATCTTAATGATTATGTGCTCTTTCAACAACTCACACAATCTTTCCAATATAATATAATATAATATAATATTAGATTTAAAATCTCGTGTTGATTTTAATAAGTTAAATATATATAGAAAGCATTATTTTATTTTATTAAAATCCTCAGGGAAATTATTTCAGTATACGCAGATCCCAATAGATATATTATTTTTATAATTTATACAATTTAAATTACTTTCTTCAGTAAATAATAATAATAATAATAATAAATAATAATTTGACTTACTTTGGTGATATTAGGGACCACAGCTCTGAGAGCCAGAAGCCTGTCGTTCAGCTTCTTCCTCCGATTCCTCTCCGACATGATGTTCTTCGACGCCTCTAACGACGACGGCGTTCCGTCCGGCGAGCTTGAATCGTAAGAACCGTAAAACGCTTCGTCCACTCCCCAACTGAAATTTCCATTTCGTTACGAACATAATTCGCACAGATTTAAAAAACAAAAAAAAAACAGAGAATATCAAAACCTGTCGAACTCTTCCGTCTGCAGAAACATGTTCGTTTCCCAGTAGTACTGATACTCGTCGAGAATGTTCTCCATCGGCGGCGAATTTGGCGGATGGCCGGAGAAGACGGCGGCGATGGAGATTCTGATTGGAGAGGAATTGAGTTGGGTGGGAGAAGTGGGAGAATTTGGGAGGGTTTTATAGGGAAGAAAATTAAATATATTGTTTTTTTTTATTTTTTTTTATTAACCCACGTGGATTGTGGCAGCTAGATGCTTCCCGGAAAGACCGAACCGTCTAAAAGTTCAAGACGGTTTTTTTAGTGTTCGGACCGTGTGAACCGGATCTACTCTGGGTCAACGAGCAATTGCCAGACCGTCATGCCTCTCTCTTCCATAAATGCAATAAATTTAAAATCATTCTTTAAATTATTATATTTTTTTCTCTTGTCTCATTCTCTCGCATTTCCTTTTTGGGTAATTTTCTTTTTAATTCATGTGACAGAATATATAATAATAATTAAAAAACTAACTCGGTCATAATTTTAAATAATATGAATTATTTTATTTTATTTTATTTTATTTAACCTATTTCAGTAATATATATATTAGATATTTTAATAATTCAAATCATTAATTTCTAACTTTTTAAAAACTTCAAAATTATATATCCACTAGGAATTCAGTGAAGGGTATTTACGTCTTTTCGTGCCCTTGCCTTGTCTTCTTCTCGTTTGTGGTTGGTTGGCTGTGCCACGACACGAGATAAACGTTCTCGATTGCTAGTGGTTAATTTCTTTATGAGTTTTCTTTTTAAAAATATATTATTCTTTTTATTAATTATTTTTTTCACAAGAAAAGAAAAATGGACGGTCTACAATAATTGGGATTATCAATTTTTTTTATTTAATTATTTTTTTAAGTACCATGCATCCGTTTATTTGGACAAAACAGGTAAGAATGAGTTTTTTTTCCCTTTTTTTTTTCTTTTTTTTTTTAAATTATATATTTTTCCCCGTTTGAACTGAGTTAAAATTTTAAAAAATAAAAAATACAATTCCATTTGCGTGTTAACTTTTATTTTTGTCAAGTCAACTCGACCAATCTCAAAATAGTTGATCTAAGTTTTGTTTTTTTTGCAACTCAACCAACAACACTCCTAAACTAAGTGTAGTCACAACGAAGTTGATATATGTTCAAAAGAGTAGTAGATACGAGTAGGTATAATCTCGGCTATTATTAATTTATATATTTATTAAAATTAAAAAGAGTTTATAATATTAAAAAAATAAACTTGACTAAATTTATGATTTTTAAAATATTTAATACAAACGTGAAAAAAAAAAATTACAAAAATATATTTTATTTATTTAAGCTAGATTTGCAACTTTGGACGAGTGGACCCAAAAAATAGAGGAGTCCAAAATGTACAATGATTTTTCACCCAAAAGACAAAAAATACTTTATCCTTAAAAAAGTTGAATAATCATTGGGATGGAACATTTCGCCCCCTCCAAGTTGTTAATATAATATTAGCATTTGCTTTAAATAATTTAATTTCGTATGTTTTATTTTATTTAGACTGTTCTGACTTGATTTGATTTGTCACAAAATCTTATACGAATATGACGTTTCATCGTCTTTGATGATTAAGTTAGTGTTGAGTACGAAATGGCATCAAGCTATGTAGGTGGGTAAAGCATATTTTGTGAGAAATTGTAGATTTTGTGTCGATTATGTCTTTGAAGTGTGGATGGATTAGCTCGTTAAAGGTTTTGGGTCAAGCCAGAAGTGACCTTGACATTACCCACTATTCACCTTCGCACGTTGAAGTCATACTTTAACACGTGTATCTTAATAAAGTTGTCTCACGTGAAAGCAAAGAGACAGTGGTCGTACTTGAACCATAGTGTGTAAGTAACCGATACGAGCAACTATTTTTGGGCTTAATTAGTGTAGTTTTGATGATTAAATGACTATATTTGCAATAACCCAACTTAAAAAAAAGTTATTACTTTAAAAAAGTAAAAGGATTAAAATAAATATTCGAAAAGTAAAAAAATATATAATATTTGGGCCCAAGTGGAGTTGGAACGAGTCACACGGGGGGATGGGGCGAGTCAACTCGGCACTACCCGACAAAAATCCTGGAAAGGGAAGATTTTAAATTAGACAAAATCAGGATATTTTAATTTTATTATTTTACTATTTTAAGCAATGTATAAATAATGTTGGAATATCAATTTAATAAATATTGATAGATCCAAAGATTATTATAATTGTGAAACTCCATGAATATTTTTATTTAAAGACAAATGATTTTTTTTTAAAAAAAATTAAATAAATAAATTCAAATTGATTGATTGATTTATTTATTTTTATTGATGTTGAACTATAGGTATACCTATAAAATTATTGATGAAAATTATATATTAAAAATTATTAAAAATTGAAGATAAGTTAAATAAAATTAAACAAATAAATCTCAAGTCAGTGTAATTAATGATATACTTTAATCATATTCCTATCATCAATCCAATAATAAATTATTATTAAATTTATTTTATAAGCATCCCAAATTATTTTATAATTAAATTTACCTAATTTCGAGCTCGATTTTAGATAAATAATTTTCAAAATCTCTATTATACACTAAAATTATATTAAATATTAACACCATTGAACTCCGTTTGAAAAGGTTAAAAAGAGGTCAAATTGGTCAAAATAGATTAAACCGGACTAAAATCTCGAACAAATTAGAAGAAAAAATTATTGTTGGGAGAGAGTCCTACGTTAACTAATTAAGGGTACGATCATGTGTCCATTAAGAATACATTTCTGTTGCGACGAGTGTTTTTGAAAAAACCAAAAGCAAAACTATGGGAGCTTATGTTTAAAGTAGACAATATGATTCTTGACATGATACCGGTGTCACGCCGGATATTGAACATAAATTCTTCGCTCAACTTGAACATAATTTAATATAATTTAATTTAACCGCATGGGTCAAGCACGTGGTCCAGGCCCAGACATGCAACCCAACTCAATTCATTGGGCCTAGGCCCAAAGACTAGGCTCAGGCATGTGGGCAGTCCAAACGCGAAGCCCAACTCAATGCCCATGCACGTGGTCCAGACAGGCAGTTCGCACGCAGTTCTTCCCTCAACCGTTGGTTCACACCTAAGCTACCGGTTTAGCTCTAGTTCAGCTTACTCACCTTCGATTCAGGGTGGTTTAAGACCGGTTTGGTTTAGGCTTTCTTGGGTCAATTTTGGGTATTTTAGGTTAGTTTCTCGTATGTTTTAGCGGTTTAAGAGTTTTCTAACTGTTTACAGTTTTAAGATCAATTCTCGTGCACGAAGTCATGGTCTTATATATTCATAATAAATTTTTTAAAGAATTATGGCAAAAAACAAATAACATGCAAATTTAAATAAGTCAAAGAAGAGAGTAAAACAATGCATCGATCTAACCTATAAGGAATACAGACACCATGAAATGTATCTATCCTAACTTTAGTCTTGATCATCACCATGATGTCATTATTCATGCAAATGTGTCTTGCTTTTACCTGAAGATTAAGCGTAGCACGTGACATGAGTATTTTATGAAATACTCAATAAGTGATCCCACTATTGGGATTAGGACATATGACATGCAATCATGTTTTGGACCTATCATTTCATAAATCATCTTTTCATGACCTTGATCTCAACTTTTAGTTTGGGCAGAATTAAACGTGTAATACTTCTCTACACACGACCCACGCACGTGCATGTGGACTTTTAGGCAAGCTCATATACGTATCCCTGGACCTGGCTCTAGCCTTCTACTAGCGCACACTCATGTGGTGGTTATACTATGGAGAGAAGGGAGTGGGCATATAGTATTGTGGTGTATACAATATCGCATCATAACGTCATGACAAACATAAATGTTGTAAGATACGTGTTTGTACTAATCATAATATAGAAGTATCCCGATGCACATAAATATACAATATGCATGAGATCCCCATAACTTAAAATCATGACATGTATCTGTGATACAATACATATCTTCGTTCATTCCATGTCATTGCATTCATCAATGACATAATGTGTCAACATGACATATCTCATCATAACATAATAAGCAAACTAGCAATCATAAGACATGACACGTGCAAGGGTTATAGGGCACGTTCATAACACCCTGCTAGCCTGGCTCATCGAGACGCCACGCTCTCCAACACATCACATGCAACCGATAGGAGAAGTTACCCATCCTTCAATCGATTTAGCTCATCGTAGTATTATTTTTATGGATGGGCTAAGTACGACCTTCGAGATCACATCACCCAAAGACCGATCCAATGCCTGCACTCAGCACAACACCAATTGGGGGAAGGCATTAAAATAAAACAAAAGGCACTGGTCAGCCGATTTGGCCCATCAATGGAAAGATGCCAAACTGGAGGACACTGGCTCAGAGAAATTGATGTGAATCTGAGTTACAAAAACCGGGTTCGGTTGTTACACGTGTGGTCATGAATTACTTCTTCAAGCATGTATTATATGGACACGTACATTTTTCTTTCCTCCAGCTTCGACTACACATGTGCATGCCTAGGCTGATAATCATGCCTAGAGAATACGATAATGGACTCGTCTTAGTAGGTTCATATACATATGTGTTGACATATGGAGAGAAATACTATGCATCTTAATTATACACCGGAATGAGAGTAAAGCCCATGATAGCCATGAATTTAGGTTTCTACAATCATGTTGAATGTTACATGCGTTTACATTTTTCAATTCCTATAATGAAGTTACTTACTGAGTATTTTTAAACACTCGTTCTTTTTCTTAGCATTTTTTCTAAGAGTCCAAACTCATCGCTAGTAGATATTCCTCTTTAGGCTTTTCCTTTTGAGCTTCTCCTCAATGTTTTTAAAACGTGTCTACCATGAAGAGATTTCTATATTTTGTTCTCCTCCCCAACTGATATGGGATCTCACATCTCTAGTCAGATGAGTGATAACTTCTAATAGAGGCCATAAGAGAGTATTTCTCTCTCTGTCTCGTTATTCAAATTATATGTTTGAACGGTTCCTTTTTGTTGTTTATGCTTGAATTTGTTTGAAAAAACTTTCATAATCATGCATGTATTAATGTATGGTATTAACTTCCATACTTTATCGGTCA